TGGTGTCAGAAGTGTGGCTACTTTAAAGCTATGTTGATCAGAAACAGAATGATGGCGTATTGAAGCTATCAGGAAGTGCTCTGAAAGCCATGCTGCCTTTTAGTTTTCGATCTCTCTGTGCCATCATACTATACCTAGTTGAACTGGTCTGACATGGGACATAAAAAGTAGTGGATCTCCTGGAGCATCCTCATCATCTTCTAAAGAAACTGATATTTCACCTGGGAAGGAAAGAGTTTTTAGATGAAAAATAGGTATGGACTAAATTAGCTTAAATTAGTTTAACTGAAAATGTCCATACACAATGAGAAGATTATTAACGTTGTAATCTCCACTTACTTAATTTGTATTCAAATTGAATTTAAAATTAATTTAGCCTGTCCCCATAAAGGGACACGAGTTATAGGAGGTAAATTGAATTAGTTTATATTTGCCTATGAAGCCTGTTCGAAATGTATTTTAAAAGTCTTGTAGAAAGAGACTTGATTCTAGTGACTTGTATGCTTTTCTGACTCAGTATTTGGGGTGGACAGCACATTAAAAGTACAGTTTGAAAGTAGATAATGGAAAGTGAGAGACATACAAATAAAAGTGGACTCTGCACATGGACTCAGATAACTACAAATCCATTTATGTAACCAACAAAAAAAAAAATCCAAGAACAATTTTTAGAGAAAAGTATGAAGAAAACAAGAATGTTCTGCAAAAAGTTCTGGAAATCTATGGAATTCATTAATGGCATAGGGAAAGTGGGAAAATATAGTGACTAAAGAACAGACCTATTTGTAGCTGACAGGATTCAAATTAGCTATTCACAGTATAGCATTCCTACATGTGTTTAAAAAGCAGTATTGTAGCAATTGCTATGTAAGCTTGGAAAGCAGCATATGTAAGTCAGGTTCTGAATCAGCTTAATTTTCACATAGGACAAACTTTTAAGTTGTTCTACAGTAATACGCTGTATTCAGCTGTTGACAGGAGGTTTGAAATGTTGATTCACGGGAGTTGAGCTACTGTCAGCTCCAGCGAGGCAGGTCGCACAGATCAAAGCTGCCTGTTCAAAGGTACGGCAGTAGTTGGGTCACAAGGAACAGTAACGAGGTGCGGTGAGGATGCAACCTGGTATCCCTGACGTAGGTGAAACTGAAAACTGCATTTGGATTAATTTGAAAACATTATCCTAAACCCTCCTGACTTTCAGCAAGGCTCAGAATGACTCATAGATGCAGTGGCCAGATCTCCAACTGCTCCCAGCTGTCAGCCTTGGTTCTCTGGCAGGAGCTGCCACCCGCCGTGCCCAGGCTGAGGAGGGAAAGGTACGCTCGTGCCTCCACCTCCAGAGGCAGGATGGGCATTTTATCTGCCTAAGCACTGCAAACTACAGAGAGGGGAAATAAATTCTCTCTTGGAAGGCTGCTGAGTGTGCCATGGGTACTAGGATAAGCAAGTTTAATTACTTTGATATATTAAAGAGAAACAAAATTTTAAGTAAATAACAATGGTTAACACAAAAAGATGTTAGAATATTTGATGGGGAAAAAAAGCATCTGATGAGCAAAAAAAAAAGATAGTAAGAGTATTGCACACATATTAAAAAAAATACATATATAAAATTCTTGTCAATGACATGTTTAATGTTAAAAGTCCAGACACAGAAAACTAGGTATGAGTGGCATTTTCAAGTTGGCATTTCTGAAGGACCTTTTTGCATTACTATTAGCTGTCTGAGTTTTATACATATGATAATACTGCATTGCTGATGCATTTCTGCTCAGACTTGATAATTTTTCGGCATTTGCTGTGGTAAAGTGAAGGGCAAGGAAATTGGCCAGTGCATTAATATTTAAGCATAGAAATATAAAAGAGCATAAGTAACTTAACATAAAATACTAGGTGAGCTTTGCTTTTGTACATCAAGTACTTGATTTGTAATACTTGATTTGACTTGACAGAATCACAACTACTTAACAAAATGGGAAGATCATTCATTTGAACTGTAATGAATGACACCATTTTTCATAGTGCATCATCAATCGCCGCATGGATTTTTTTCATTGTTGATTACTGGCATAATACATGAACTAAATTTTGAGAGAAGTGAACATGTTGAGTTGCATCTTTTTTAAGTATTATTTAAGCCACGGCTCTGTGTTTGCCTCTGAAAACATGTATTTTGGGAGGACAGCACGAGGATCACTGGCTTGTACTGCTCTATGTGCTTATGCAAAAAGTGTCATCTTTCCATGAACAAGCTGGGAATTGGTGCATGTGGTGCTACCAAGTTTGTCTGGAGACACCTCTCTCTCAGATTTGATTGTGATTTTCATTATTCATTTCTTCAATTACACTTTCAAAAGAAAACTGATTTTACAAGATACAAAAAAAGCCTCAGGAAAACATGATAGAAATACCACCCAGTCCTGTAAAAGTAGTCTCTTTTTTTCTCTTCCTTTCTCTTCCTCACCCTCCCCAGCAGTCTCCCAGTAGTTGAGATAATCAAGCAAATCAAACACAAAGACATGCTTTTGTAGCTTTACATTAAGGATGGGTATGAATATTTAGACTGAGGCTAAGCAGAATGGTAAAAACAAAGGAATTTCTTTGGGAGCATGCCCTGTCCCTTGTCATGCTTTTTAAACAAAATAAATTAGTATAGCTACTACGTTCTTAAAGTAGAGTAAGATGTGCGTGATGGACAGTATTATCTGGCACAGGTTTTAGTTTGCTGATAGCATTTTGTGCTTGTTGCCCGAGTCACAAGCCCAGACATCCTTGGTTCCTCCAGCTCTGCCAGAATAAGGCTTCTCGACTTCTTTTTAAAGAGGCGAGGGACCATTTTCCCCTCCTCTCCTATAACACTGTCATTGAAAGGGAGAAGCCCAGGGGGAGACCTGCAGGGATGCAAATACGCTTTGGTGGGTTTGCCTTATGGAGGAGGACACCCATATTAGAGTGGTCCCCTTCCTCCAGCCAGGCCGAGTGCTCGGGCAGGGGCCGCAGGCTGCCTTGGCCTGCGCTGGGCATCACCCTTCCTTCTGTGGGAGCCACACTGCCAGGTCTGCCCCTGCGACAGAACCAGTGAGCATCAGCTTCAGAGCCACAGATGCCATCTTAGCCTTACAAGTGCCCTTCCCAGTGCTGAGCTGGGCAGACACGGTACCGCTGACCACCATCGGAAAAGGTCTGGGCCTCTAGGAAGGCCTCCCTTGCTGGGCTTGCACTCCGAAACGGAGAAAGTTGCCATTCTCAGCTGTTCTCTCCACCCCTTGGTATGGACATACACATTCTGCGCAGCTGCAGGACACGTTTCCATCTTAGTGTGTTTTCTTTGTGGCCGAATTATGGTTGTTGTGAAAATCTTTGCATTTAAATTCTTGCCGTTAGTGTTGCATTATTACAGTTAGTTGCATTTAATTTTTGTTTATCCAGAAAATGTGTTTGTTTTTATTGTTTTTTTTAAGGGAGTAATAGAAATGCTCGTACATTTAAGAGATATATTTAATTATATCACCTTCAAAGCCAGACTGTCCTAATGCTTCAAAATGAGGTGTGTCTCACCCAGGGGTAATTTTTTAAATATATGTTCTACTTTGGGATTCCCAACTGAAATTAACCTTTTCTGATTTAAACTTGCTAGAGGTCTAATGCAGATGAGAATTAGTATTAACAGCTGGTGCAAACTACACCAAAACACAGAGGGTAATCTAAGGGTAGGTCCTCAGATGAAGGACACTATCTCAGTTTCATGTAGTCCTCCAAAGTGTATTAGTCTCAGTTCTGCAAGTTTAAAAATAAAAATGGATTGCAATACACAGTGCAGAGAGCATGTTAAAATATTACAAAATTGCCATTTTAATTTAAAGTGACTTTGACAGGTTAGAGGCTTTCTGCTAGTGATGACAAATTAAGGTCAAGCTTTTTGTTAAGGTAAACAATGAAAAGAAAAATGGCTATTTCTTTTCCTCAGAACTGTAAAACAACATTGTAAAGGGAGCCATGGAAGGGTACAAGGGCAAGCTAGGTGTCCAGCTCGTTTCCGTGCCTTTGGCAATCTACCCTGATATTACTGTTTTTTGTTTTCTTAAAAAAGATTCACAATTAAATAATGTAAATTGCCACACACTGTGGGAACAAACGGCTAAGCTTTGCGTTTCTTCTTTTAGCCTTCTTATTTTGGTACTTATAACTATTATTGAGGCTTATGCTTCAGTGACATTTAGGATGTGACAAGGAGATTTGAGTGATGTCAGATAGCAGATTGACCCTAATGAAATGTTAAGCACAGCTTAAATGCATATGTAGAGAGGGCTGAATAAAAGAAGAGATGCAAATCATTTGATAAAAACCCTTTCAGAATAAAAGCAGTTGTATTCATTTGGTTTGCGTCAGAATAGCCTGATAAACATGATGATTTTTACTTTCCTCGCTACATTACTTTTTAATGAGAAGTTATTAAACACCCTGCTGTGTATCACATATTTAAGTGGAATTGCTTACAAAATAATTTAATTTACCTTTAGTCATCATACTTAAATTTTCAGTTACAGAGAGATAAAAATCCAAATTTTCACTTGTATTACAAATAACCATTTTTTAAAAATTATGACAGTTTCAGCCCTCACTTTTATCTTTCTTTAAGTTTACATCTGAATTGGAGCTCTACAAAATCTGCTTCCAAAGTTCAACAAACGAATGTCAAAGGGAAAGAAAGCAGCTTTTCCTAATTTAACGTTTCAACCCAGTGCAGGAGCCTTGACTCGCCGAGGCTGCAATACAAGCAGTTAGCAGAATTTTGCTAGAATTACGCTGTATTTACAGACTTCGACACTGGTGGGTGCTAACATTTTATTCCCCTGTGCCAGGAGTGCATCCAGTCAGTTCTAACAGCGCTGTTGGGGCTGTGCAACCTCCGCTTCGGCTCCAGCAAACTCAGGCTTCGGGTTTGTTCCCTTTGGTTCTTAAGCAAAGAGAGAAAAATAGAAGCAAAAACAGTTTTTTACCTTGCGTGCTGTCTGTTGTGGGGCTTGTGTTCAGCTGCGTCTCAGTCGCAGAACACCTGCCGTTTTCTTCTGCAGCTAATTGTGTGACAGGTTCATATCGCAATATGGCATCCAGATCATGGAAAAACTTCATGGTTTTAGTGACATCCCCAGAGTTGTGGGCATATTTAACCGTTCTGTATTCATACTTCAGGTTTTTATACTTTGCACGGCACTGTTTCCAATCCCTGCAAACTCCTAACTCCTGCAACCTTTTGGCAATGTAGATAAATATTCCTTTATTCCTCAGCGTGCCATGGAGTTGCTTTCTGATATTTTTTTCTGACCAGACGCTTAACAAGGCTTTAACCTCCTCCTCAGTCCAATGCTTCCCTGCTCCACTCTCCATGTTGAAAGTGACCTGGAAATGATTCACTATTTCTAGCCAAGATTTTGTTTCCTAGGAAACCAGACGGCTGGTTGTCAGTAAGCTCCGCCGAGATGAAAGGATCTAGTTTTACTGGCTCAAGCTGCCTGAGGGGAGTAACTTGAGAAACTGCCAAATAAGCAGCCTGGGTGTTAGAGGCCGGCGAATGAAGCAGCTCGGGCGGGAGCGGTGCCGGGGGGCGGCGGGGAGGCCGGGCGGCCTGGCGGCCTTCTGCCCGGCGGCGCCTGCATGGGGCTGCCTTAACCCTTCCTGGCACGGAGGGCTTCGCGACGAGCGCTGTGCTGTCACGAGAGAGAGAGTCGCACTTTCTTGTTCCTTAAAAAATAAAACAAAACCAAAACACCACGAAAAATCCTGCCCCCCCCCCCCCTGATGCCCTAGTTTAGTGCACGGCAGCGTCCTCGTTTGCTTCTCCGGGGTAGTACTTGCTTTTGAATTGATGGTCGTGTATACACATCTTTAATATTCATTGGTTATTAGGGATGTTTTAATGAAAACTTGCATACTTAAAAAATCTGACTAAACTGGTAAAATTGTGTAGGCTTTGTGGTAATGAAACTGAACTCCCATTTCTTTCTTTAGTGCTATGTGAAAGATGGAATCCAACCGCTTGACAAGGGCCTTTTGCTCAGGATGTTTGCTTCCCTCTTTCTCACTGTTGATTTTGTTGATGTTTAAAGGGACAGTGTCAGTATTTAGATGGAAATTGCCTGTAATATTAACACTGGAATTAAAAGTTACTGGATGCAGTGTATCAACCCTTAAGTTTTACTACCAGTCTTTGCATTTATAGACGGGACATCTTCCTGAGTTAAAATAAATGGGTTTAAGAATGTCCTTATCTCTGATTCTTCTCTTGAAGATTTGTGTCAATAACAACAGCATAAATGCGTTCAGATATGTGTGAAGTTTGTTTTGCTTTGCTTTCTGTAAGCAAATGTTCTTTAAAATTTTGCTTTACGTACAACGAGGCTTCAGAAAGTGGAGAAAATTTGTAATGAGCATGGTCAGTTGTAGATTAGCATCCATTCTGTAGGGGGTTTTGTGCCAAATTTTATTGTTGCTTATACTAAATAATTCCAGTGACCAGTATATGATGGTACATGGCAGTGGTTTTGGGGGCGACAGGGAACCTGTTGGTGCTGCCTGCCCAAGGGCTGGGACTGCGCCCGGGGACCCAGCAGGAAGACAGGGCTGGGGAGAGCAGGGAGCAGGCTGGGGAAAGCTCCGTCCTTTTAGCTGGTACAGCTCTTCTGCTCCACAAAGCACAAGGCCAGCCTCAGGCTGATCTGCTCTAAGAGAAATATCTCCCTTTGCAGTGACGCTGTACACCAGACTTGTTTTGCTTGAGTTCGGAAGCCGTGATGCCGCAACGTTAGTTTTATGTGCTCAAACACTTTTATCAGCAGGTCCCTATACCTTTTAGAGGTGTAAATGCTAGCTTGCCTGCTCAAGGGCAAAAATGCAAAAGCTTCTGCATATGTGGTCGGTGCAAGAGACAACGCATTCCCTCAGGCAAACCCACCCCTTTCTTAACACCCCTCCCCAAACCGAAGCAGAAATAGAGTAGTGCTCTACTAGAGTCTAGACTATCGCTGCAAAGTGGCTTTTCAGATTAAGCATCTGCTGTTATTTTATGCCCACACTGAAATAGGACTGCAGTAAGAGCCTGAGCCAGTGCTCATTAGTGG